CCAGCGATGGGCGGGGCTTTCACTGTTTGACCTCACGCACGCTCGGTTTGAATTGGAAAAGCTTGGGCTCACGTCGAGCGGCCTCGCGAGGCGGCTTTACCTCGTCCGGCAGGCGGTCCAGGTCGCGGTTGACGGCCAGCTCCAGCCTCTCCAGGCCGCGGCAGTCTCCGAGCTCCTTCGGAACCGAGCGGATTCTGTTGTAGCTGAGCACGAGTTCTCGGAGTTGCGTCAGGCCGCCTGCGACATTGCCACGTATTGCAGTCACTCGAAAACCTCGTTTTCCGATCAACGCGTTCACTTTTGACGGTCGAACCGATTTCTTTGGGGATCTCGGCCACCGCGTTGCGCGACAAGTCCAGGACCAGGAGATTGGCGAAGGAGCCGATGAAGCCGGGGATCTTTTGCAGTCCGGTCCGGTGGATGTGCCACTCGTGGACGTGACTCAGCCGCAGCAGGCAGCCCGGCAGCGCCTGGAGGGCGTGTCGCAAAGTCAAAGGTTCACGGGGGGTGATATTTGTGCGCGGGGTAAAACACAACTTTTCATCTGCTTTGCATGCACCGAGTCAAAAAGTCCAAACTCTGCGGGGTGCCACAGTTTTGACTGTCCGGTGAGCGCAGGCCCTTGTGCGCCGACGCGGCGTGCTCCAAAAGCTGAGGACGCTCTCTTAGCCAAGACGCGACTTCCCCTCACTTGTCTGGCATGGGACAGAGAATTTTGGAAGGCCGCGAGCTGCCGCTGTTGAGCCCGACGCGACGGATCGGCAACAGAAAGACCGGCCACGGGGAATGTCTTGCTTCCCCCAATCTGCAGGACGACCGCCGTTAATGGCCACGTTCCGCCTTCAAAGATGTCCGTCGCTCAACATCTCGGCCGCGCTTGATGACATGCTGTTGCCTCTCGGTGGATGCGTTTGGGGGGTCGGGAGGGGGGGAGCAAGCGCCCAATAGTAGAAAAAGGTACCCGAAAGCCCTACCCGAGTACAGTAACTAAGTACTTGTACTTGGTGACTTGCTACCGCTGTTGTTGATGCGTCGTAGCGGTGCGACGGCGACGCGACGGCGACCGGCTTCACCTTCCACTCCTCGCGCTCCAGGCACAGAAGCAGGCGGCCGTCTTGGCTCTTGACTTTTTCTCGCAGGCGAGTCAGCACGTGGCGCTCTTCCCAGACGCCCGCCGCAACCGGCCTGCGGCGCGCACACACGGACGGCACGGTCAAAAACGCCTCATGTGCGTGTCACGCATTTTAGTGGTAGAAAACTGACCGATCGCCACGAATATTTTCACGCGCCCGACTCAACTGTCCGCCGCTCAAGCCGACATGCCGACGTCGCATCGTCAGGGCCGGCGAGGCCGAAACGCTGTCACAAGCGCGAACCCCCATTTACAAATGTCACCAAATTCTTTGCAACCATCTTTTTTTTGGGGTGGCGGGGGGATAATCAGATTTGGGTGGGACGGTGTCGATTGGTTTGCTCGTCCGTCTGGTCATGGGTTCGATTCCGTGTCCCGGCCTTCCTTTGTGGAGTCTGCATGTTCTCCCCGTGCCTGTGTGGCTTTTCTCCGGGTCCAAGCTGCCTTCACGGAACGCTCGATAATCTCGAGTCGACATTGTGCCGAGGTGTGAGCCAACCTGTGGGCTTCCGGCTGACTTTGCGCCAAAGGCGGACTACGCCCCGGACTGGTCACGAGTCAATCCCGGCGCCCGCGTCGACTGACGAGCGTCACGTCACCGCACGAGTGAGCAAATCCAGGCTGGCCGCACCAAAGGGCGACATCGCCAAACGCGCGCGAGCCGAGTTCAGCCTCCGAGGGCACAAAGCGGAGGGAAGAGTCTCACCTGTCGTGCGGCTTCCTTCTCTGTTTCCCCCGATGCTGCTGGATCTGCTGGATCTTGGCTTCCCACAACATCTTCATGGAGCTGACCGAGCCGTTGGCCAAAGCGAGCGCCATGTGTCGCGGCGCGTCACGCCCGGGAGCCCGCCCGCAGCCGTCACAAGTTGCTCGGCGGCGGGGCCGCGTCGTACTTCGCTTTAGCCGAGCAGCCTTCGGCGTTATACGTCGCGATGTGGCGCTTAGCTTCAGCTTACCGCGGCAACGTGCGGTGGTCTATATTGGCACATGCAAGTTAGCGTTAGCTTAGCGTGGCACAACACACATTGCTACGCGGACGTGAGCGTGAACTAGCTTAGTCGCACTTGTGGTTCGAGGTGTTAGTCCGGTAGAGCGGTGCGCTCCTCTGAGCGAAGAGGTCCGAGTTGTGTCGGATTTCCAAAAGGCAGCGGGAGCAAATGTTCTGCTTTGCGATGTGGCTCACCTCGTTTGTGCTCTTGAAGCTGGACGGAAGCGGGGTTAAATTTAGCTGCAAGCGAGGTCACTTGACCTCTCCCACCCCCAAGTAAAAAAAAAAAAAAAAAATTAAAAACAAACCTCACAGCTGTGGCGGTGTTCCAGCAGATGGCGCTAGGGCTCACATATAAACATGACCAGTGCTTGTATTTTTTTTTTTTTTGCACATCAACTTTGATGCAAAGTCCAGGCGGAGATGATTTGTAACCATTTATTTGTTCCTATTTGAACATAAGAACTCCAGCTTGTCCCGAGACGAGCTAAGGCAGTAACAGAGCGTAATGACAAACGCGCCACACAAATTCACGTCACGCCATCGATCGACAGCCTTCTCAAAGGGACGCCGTCAATCGCCCGGGAGCGGTCGAGGGCATCCTCTCCGTTCAGGCGCCGCTTGGTTTCCGTCTGCCGGGGAGGCGGAGTCTCCGCCGGGTCGGGACGACGGTGGCGGTCGGGGGAGGCGGGGCTTCACTTGAGGTGCAGCAACATGCCGGAGGGATTCTGCAGGAAGTCTCGCCACATGTTGGAGAAGCGACACATGGTGGCCCCGTCGATGACGCGGTGGTCGGCCGACCAGCTGACGTTCATGACGTGAGCGCGGATCACGTGACCGGACGCGTCGAAGCGCGGCAGCACCTGGGCACGAGGGGCGCAGGAAGCGGCTCAGTACGCCCGGCTAAGCCTACGGGAAGCCGATGTTGATGCGCCCACCTGGATTTTGCCCAGCGCCCCGATGGCGACCTCCGGAGGAAGGATGACCGGCTTGGCGTACGTCCCTCCGATCTGCGGAAAACACGCGCCAGCTTGACTCAAGCTCGTTACGCCTGGAAAATGTTTTCCCTCAGCAAATGATGACTTGAAAACAGCCCCCCGCCCCCCCAGTCGCTCTCCTGATACGAAGGCAGCTAAACCCAAGCCGCTGCCGCTCAACGTTGGGAGGAGCCGGCCGGATAAGGCGTCCGACGGGCCGACTCACCGATCCGATGTTGGACAAGCTGAAGGTTCCTCCGCTCAGGTCCGCCGTTCCCAGCTGGCCGGCGGCGCCGAGCTCCTGAAGCCGGTTGAGTTCCCGCGCCACTTCCAGAATGCTGAGCAGCTGCACGTTCTTGACGGTGGGAACCAGCAGACCGAGGGCCGTGTCCATGGCGACGCCGATGTTGTGAGATACCTGGCGAGGCGGCGACGCACCACACGCTGACAAGGTTGTGACGCGGCGTCGCGTCGCATCGCGCCGCCGCCGGCCCGCGCGCCTCACCTTGTACGTGATGTTCTGACAGGACTGGTCCAATGAGGCGTTGAGGATGGGAAAGCGGGCGAGGCAGAGGGAGGCGGCCTGAGCCAATGAGAGCGTGGCGTTAGCGGGTGCAAAAGCGCGTCTGCCCGACCGGCGCCTTTCAAACGAAGCAAAGCCGACACCGACTCGTTTGTCCAAAGGTGCCCGTGGGCGACATCGCAATTCAGTTCATTGACGCCATCGTCCGTCTGGGGCTCGCCCAAAGCCCAAAGCCAAACAATCGCTCTCTCTCTCTCTCAGCCAGCCAAAGAGAGGCTTGCTCCCAATGACGGGCTGTCGGAGATGCAGGAGGGGCCGCTCCTGCTCGCGGACCCGGATCCAGCCGGGTGCCCAAATCCAGTCCTCGCGAGAGCCCGTTTCAGACGTCTCGCTTCTCCGACACGCCGAACGATCACGACCGGGCTTCTCTGAAGCCCGCCGATGAGTCGGGCGCGTTGCAGGAGGGAGAGGCCGGAAAGGGGCTCTCGAGGACCCGGCTCGGGCAGCCCCGAATGTCCGCTCAAGCTGCTTTTGGGCAACGATTGCCGTCACGCTAACTCGCCAAGCGTCAGCGCGCGGGACGCAAACGTCAAGAGCCCCCGTCGGACCAAACGGAGCCAACCTTAATGAAGAAGGGCATGTAGCTGAGGTTGACCCCGTGACCCCGGGCGTCGGCCTTCAGCTCGGCCCGGAGCGCCACCAGCCGGCTGAGGTCCACTTGGTCGCACAATCCCAAGTGAGGGATGGCGAGCGCCGCCGTCATGCTCTTCGCCATGGCCTTGTGGAAGCCTGCGGGGCGAAAGAGACGCTCAGCCGGGCCGCGCTGACGGCGGGCCGCCGGGGGACGGACTCTGCGGCGGCGGCGAGGGGGGGGTCCGGGGGCGGAGTCTGCCTCTCCTGGAAGGGACTGGGAGGCAAGATGGCTCCCGTCTGCCTGGCCAGGAAGTCGAGGATGTCTTCCTTCAGGATGCGGCCGTCTTTTCCCGAGCCCACCACCTCGCTCAGCTTGATCTGAGGCCAAAGTGCAAGCCGCGTTCAAGCAGCGCGACCGCAACGCGGGAAACGAGCTCGGTCGCGAAGGCGCTGACGTTGTTCTCCATGGCGAGCCGTCGGACGGCGGGCGTGGCCTGCGTCTTGAGGCCTTTGATTTCCTGGTGGGTGTGTTCTTCTCGGGCCATGGCCGGCGTCTCCACCACGTCTTCTTCCTGGATCACGTCTGCGCGGGCGCAACGAGCGTGTCAGGCGGGGTGAGTGACAAACGCACGCGCGCCAACGAACGCGCCGCGCCGTTCCACCACTGCGTCGTGTTTGTCGATGACGAGAAGGTCCCGATAGTGCGGTCGAGGTCGACTCGTTTGCCGATGTCATTGGGCAAGCCCCGCCGCTGGGCATCTTTCGAGCCCGCCTCAAACTCACTCGTATTATTCTTTGCCATTTGACGACCCAAATGATGATCCGAGCTTGACCGTTTGGTGCTTTGTGACTGATTTCTTGCTTTCTTGTTGTATATACGAGTGGCAGAGCCGGCGCGGCGCGTCGCGTCGGGTCCCATTCGCACGCACCCGAAGCGGACTCGGTCTCGATGTCCACCAACGGTTTCCCCACCAAGGCGACGTCGTCGGCGTCATAGTAAAGTTTGGTGATGACGCCATCGTAGCGGCTGGTGATGGTGACGGACGCCTTGTCGCTTTGGACCTCGCAGATGCTGTCAAACTGAGAGACTTTGTCCCCCTCCTTCACGTACCTGCGCGCGCACACAAAGGCGGCTTACGGGCCAGAGGGCCTCCCCGCGCGCTCGATTGGACTCCAGATGGAGTTTTCAAAATCCTTTGCTCGTTCCCCACAAAGGGATCTTCTACCGATGGGAAAATTGCACAACGGCGATGAGGGACCGAGCGAAGACGGCTCGCCGGGCGCTCTTCGACTTACCACTCCTTCACCGTCACCTCCATGATTCCCTCGCCGATGTCCGACAGTTTGAACTGGACGACGGCCCCGCGATGCGCTGCGCCGCGACACAAACGCCGTCAATGACATCACCGGCGGCATCATCATCATCATCATCGTCATCATCTGCGACATCCCAAAAGGCGTCCAACCTGCAGACGCGCGCAGACCGCGGCCCAACGTCTGGAGGCTTCCGCTGCGCACCTCCAACTTCCTGTCCAACGTGGGGGTGGGAAGTAAGCCAGAGGTCAGGCCGCGCGCCTCCTGGACACGTAGACATCGCCGGCGGTACTGCTGAATCAGCTGACGGGAAAAACAAGGCGCACACGTGTTAACTCCATGAAAAAGCAGCTGCCCTCCACTTTTCAAACGAGTCCGGAGCAAAGGCAAGATACCTCCGGTTGGGCGAGAGCCGTATCCTGCCCGTTTTAAATCCTTCCCTCCTCCAACACGCCCGATTCCTTCGTTCATGATCCTTTCAGGCCTCGACGGAGCTTGTGAATCAGGTGTGTTGGAGTAGAGAGAGCGCGAGAGATCGGAAAGAGGCAGGCTACGGCTCTCGAGGAACCGGAGTTCCCTCCCGCTGTCCGAAGGGGCGGCAACGGTTTTCTTTGACATTTGAACGAGCCTGCGGAACAGGCTTCAGCGGGCTTCAACGACCTGAAATACTCAGTGACGTCTTTCACCAAACTACCACAGAAAGAAAGAAAAGGTGGGCTCATGTAGACAAAAAATAAAATGACTGGAAAAAGATGTCTGGTTAAAGCTTACTTTCAAATCAAACGCTACTGGTATGAAAGCCAAAGTTGCACCTGCAGCTAACAAGCGCGGCGTGTCCTCCCGTCTTCGCGGGGGCATTTTTGGGCGGAACAACGCCAAGCGTTCCGCACGTCTGCCGGCGCTCCCGCTCGCAGCCAAAATGCCGATCGGCCCCTGGCGAGTGCCTTCGGAACGGCTTCCTCAATGCGCGTCCCCGTCAAGGAAAAACCGCGACAGCAAAATTCCCACCTTGCTTCCTATCGGCAAGACAAGCGTCAGCGAAGAGTTTCAAGGAGCGACGTTGCCAAGGAAGTCGCTTGCCGTTTCCATGAAACTCCAAAAGTGTGTTCCATTTACCTCGCAAATTCATCGCGCATCTTCAATGAGCTCGACATCAAGTCACCTCGCGCGTTTCGATCCATCAACGACTTTGAGACGGTTGTCATACTGCCGCTGACGCAAAGGTGCATTGTGCATTTATCGCCTCGTTCACCTTCCCGGGAGGCGAGGCGAGGCTAGGCTAGGCTAGCGACCGTATGCTTCGAGGGGACGAGCCTGCAAGCGTGAGCGTCGATCCGGCAAATAGCGCGAAGCGCGTGACGTCACGGCGCCAAAGCTTCGCGCGCTCGTCGGAGAAACCGTTCGACGTCCGAAGCCGTTTCTGTCGTCATCGTCGTCGTTCTCACCAATCTTCTGAACAGCGCGGAAGAACCTCTTGCGATCGCCGCCATCTTGCTTGGCCGACGTCACAGACGCACGCCCCGCAAGCGGCCAATCGGGTTCTGGTGACGTCACACGAGCGCGTGCCAGTCCATGCAAAGTAGCCACACGATGACGTGACAGTAATTTAAAAAAAAAAAAAAAAATCACCCGACTTTCCAAATATTAATTTGCACGCCAATAGTTCATAGTTTGCGAGTCACAAATCACAGGAAAAGCATACTGGACCGCGGTGCTTTGTCATTACTCAACGCAGCTCATCTTGATTTAATCTTTGGTCTCGCAGTGTCGTATCATTTTGCTGCTTTGTGACAATGTTTGACCTGATGGATTGAACTTGGGCAAAAAAAAAAAAAAAGATTTTTGGCTTTCCCCATGTCTTGAATTCCTCGCGCTGTAAATCAAGTCAAGTGCAACTTTATTGTCAAATGCTCTGTCTGTACAACATCCAGCGCGGATGTCATTTCTTCCCTCTCAACCAGACAACAAGAGCCGCCGCCATCAAAAGAACAGTTCACATAAAACGGCAAACTACTACAACACAACACATTCTTCTTAAACGAGATGGATGGAAAACATGTGACATGTGTACAATATCCAAAGGCAGGAAAAAAAAAAAAAAAATCACCCGACTTTCCAAATATTAATTTGCACGCCAATAGTTCATAGTTTGCGAGTCACAAATCACAGGAAAAGCATACTGGACCGCGGTGCTTTGTCATTACTCAACTCAGCTCATCTTGATTTAATCTTTGGTCTCGCAGTGTCGTATCATTTTGCTGCTTTGTGACAATGTTTGACCTGATGGATTGAACTTGGGCAAAAAAAAAAAAAAAGATTTTTGGCTTTCCCCATGTCTTGAATTCCTCGCGCTGTAAATCAAGTCAAGTGCAACTTTATTGTCAAATGCTCTGTCTGTACAACATCCAGCGCGGATGTCATTTCTTCCCTCTCAACCAGACAACAAGAGCCGCCGCCATCAAAAGAACAGTTCACATAAAACGGCAAACTACTACAACACAACACATTCTTCTTAAACGAGATAGATGGAAAACATGTGACATGTGTACAATATCCAAAGGCAGGTTTGGGAGAGGGACGGGGGTGTCTTGAAAATGGAACACCGCGTGTTCGCTCACTCCTTGTCCTGAACTCCAAGTAGTTTTGTTTGTTTTTTTTAACATTGGGGGCGGGGGTGTCCTTCTCCTTGCCAGTTGGCGGCGGTAACGAGCCATAAGCTTTGCCCGCCGCCGAGAAATGTCAACGAAGAAGCGGCGGCAGCGGCTGCGAACCAGAAAGCGCCGATTCCGCCAACGCTCTGGGAAAGTTGAGACAACGAAAAACAAGCAAGCAGAACTTCAAGTCGGAGCGAAGATGGAGTCGCCAGCGGTGGAGCTCGACGGCAGTTTCATGGAGGGCGTGAGTCAGTCGCGACCGCGAGCAAGTGAGCAGCCGTGTGTTGGCTCGTGACTTACCGGCGGCCTCCTGTCCTGTCCTGTCCTGTGCTGTGCTGTCTTGTCTGCTTCCTCTTGTTTCTCTCCCCATTTGCCTCGTTGCCTTTTGCTGTCGCTTCCTCGCAGGGCGGCCAAATCTTGAGAGTGGCGGCGGCGCTCAGCTGCATCGGCGGCTCGTCCGTCACGATCACCAAAGTCCGAGCAGGCAGGAGCACCCCGGGACTCAGGTTGACAAATATCAACATCAGTCAATAACACAAACACAACAACGCACAAACGACCACAGGGGGGGTTCGACTCCAAAAAAGACAAAGGGACTCGGCCGTTAGGGGCTTCGAGCGGTTTCACTGCGTCTGGGGGCAGCAGTCTCGTCAGAATCAGTCGTCTTGACTGGCCCAAAAGGTGGCAACGCACGAGCAATTTGTTCCGGGCAGTCGGATCCACTGCAGTGGGTTCAGATCAATACAAAAGAGGGCTGGTACAGCTGAGGCCTGGACCCTCTGAACTGCCACCAACACACCAATGCGGCTCGTTCATGTTTTTTTCCGGAATTTTCTCTCTCTGACATCAGGCAAAAGGGGGCACTGGTGTCCCTAATGAAGTGACCATAGAGCCTTGAAATGGCGCAACAAGTCGCGTGCGTTCGATGCTGCGAACGTGTGCTTGTGTAGCGTCCGTTTGGAAGTTGCCCGTGGGTTTGGTGTGCGCGCGCGTCGTACATCGTGTGGTGTTGTCGTTGCGCGCAGGCCCCAGCACCTGAGCGGCCTTCAGCTGGTTTCCGACATGTGCGCCGGCGTCTTGCAGGGCGGCGCCATCGGCTCCACGGACGTCAGCCTGACCCCGGGAAAGATTCGAGCTGGAAATTACACAGCGGACACGCACACGGCAGGGTGATCAGCTACACTCGGAACATGCTAACACGCGTCACTGTGTACTCATTACTCTGCGTGCGTGCGTGTCAGGAGCGTGTGTCTTTTACTGCAGGTGGCGCTCCCGTGCGCTCTCTATGGCGACGCCCCCTCCATCTTGTGCCTCAGAGGAGGAACCAATGCGGACATGGCGCCGCAAATCGATTATACCCTCCAGGTAGGCATCTTCATCATCATCATCATCAACGGTGTCGCGGCGCCACGGACGCAGACTTGAACATCCAAGACGGTCTCGCTTCATCTCCAGGTCTTCAAGCCCATCGTGGAGAAGTTTGGAGTCCTCTTTGACTGTGACATCCAAATGAGGTGATTGAGAACCCGCCCGTTCGTCGCCGTGCTCTCCCCCGCTCTCCATTGCAGCACTTTTGTCGGAGGTCTCGTGCCACCCGGATGTCTTTGATTGAAGGTGTTTGCGGGTTGATTTGCCCAGGGCGGCTTCTGTTTTCCAACCAGTCCAGAGACTCGATAGCGTCGACTGCGTAAATAGGCTTCGCTCCCATCGCATTGCCGTTCTCCGGAATTTGAGAATGCCCGCACGCGGCTTCTTGGTCCCGCGCGAAGCGGGCTGCAAACAAGCAGGACTTCCCGCGCGCTCACCGCCTCTTTGTCTCGACTCCGCCGAGTGTTCCGTGACTGGCGAGCGATCGGCTTTCCGCCATTGTCGTCGCCCGTCGCGAGCGGCACGACGTGAACGTGAGCCAAGCGGGCGTCTGCTTGAAAAAGGAATTTGGAAAAGTTGGTCTCGCCGCCACAAACGTTCAGACGGCACGAGACCTTTGCCCGGCAAAGTCCGCACCGCTTTTGCTGCGTCATTTCCGTTGATGTGGTGCGCGCGCGTGTGCCAGAGGCTTTTACCCGAAGGGCGGCGGGGAGGTGACCGCAACGGTGCCCGCGGTCAAAGAGTTGCGGGCGGTCACTTTGTTGGAGAGAGGAGCCATCGCCAAAATTCACGGCCGGGCGTACGTCGCCGCAGTCCTGCCCTTCAAGGTAAACCCGCCGGCGCCGGCGCGGGGCTTTTGCCGCTTGCCTATGCGTTGGCGTGACGGGGCCGCGCCATTTTGTCATCCAGCTGGCCAAAGACATGGCGGCGGCTGCCGTGCGCGCCATCCGGCGAGAAGTCAAGGAGCTCCACGTCAACATTCAAGCGGTGCAGGAGAAGGAGGCGGCCTGCGGAAACGCAAGCGGAATCATGTAAGCGACACATCGCAAACGTCCCCACGGACTTTGGAGAGCGGCCGTCGCTCTCGCTTTTGCGCTCTGAAGTGGCCACGCCGCGGGGGGCCGGCCTATTGGACGTGCCGTCTGACCCAGCCGTTGTTACGTGGCCACCGTGAAGTGTGAGCCCGTCCCAGCTTTTTGAGGCGGCACGTTTGCCTTTTTCGTGTGAGCGAACGCTTCCCAAAAGTGCCGAGCGCAGCCAAAGTCTGCTCAGAATTTCTCCCCAAATAAACGCAAGGCCTTCGTTCCCGTTTCCGCGAGGGTGGTGGCCGAAGTCGTGTTTTTCCCGAGCGGCGTGACCGCGTGGAAAGCGGCCTCCCGGCGATGTCGCAACCGGGCCAAAACTTGACCGGCACCTTTTGCCAGCCTTTCGCCTTTTATCACCTCTTGCAAACAATCCGCAAAGCGCGCCCGTGTCCAACCGGCCGCGACGTTCGTTCGTTTGTCGGAGGTTGGCGCGGGTCAGCGAAGCAGACGTGCACTCAATGAAGAGGCGTCGAAACATTTCACGTGATTGTTTTCAGAATCGTGGCGGAGTCGTCCACCGGATGTTTGTTTGCCGGCTCCGCTTTGGGCAAGAAAGGTGACGAGCGCCGCCACCGCCCCGCCGGGAGAAGGCGCTCGACATTCCCGAGGCGTCTCCCTGACTGCGCCGGCGCGTGTGCGTCTTTCAGGTGCGCACGCTGACAGAACGGGCACGGAGGCCGCGGAGATGCTGCTAAGAAACCTTCGCCACGGCGGCTGCGTGGACGAATTCCTGCAGGACCAGGTGAGCGGGCGGCCGCCGTCACGCTTGCTAACCCGAGGGTCAAAACGCGACGACGCTACCGGTCGGACCAAAGCCGTCTTCCGTATTCAAGCCGGGCAGAGCGGTCGGCCGATCGTGGCAAAGCTCATTTCCATCATGGTGAGAAATCGAACCGGAGAGGCTTCGGAAAAGGCCGCTCGTCGGGCAAACCCGATGAGGAAAGGCAAAGGCCGGCTCCGCCCCGAGCCCCAAAATAAATGATAACCCGCGGGCGCTCCGAGATGAGCGGCGACGGCCGGCGCGCGTTGACGCGCGTGCGCGGTGCGCTCTCTCTCCTTCAGCTCATCGTCTTCATGGCGCTGGCCAAGGGGACGTCTCGGATCCGGACGGGCGCCGTCACCTGCCACACGCAGACCGCCATCCACGTGGCCCAGCGGATGACTCGGGTGAGAGCGGCCGGCCGAGGTCGGCCCTTTTTCCAGCCGGATTTTCAGCCGGTCGCGGGCCGACGCCGACGCCGCCGCCGCCGTCGATTGAATGCAACTCGCAAGGAATCGGTCACAAATGTCAGCGGGCGACCGAGAACGGAATTTCTGCCTGAGGGTTCCCACTTGCAATTGTTCTTTCTTTCTTGTTGTTGGCTTGAGGTTTGCGTAACATCAGAGCAACTCCAAACGTCTTGTTTTTCCAGGCAAAGTTCACAATAACCAAATGTGTGGACACGCCGAACGTCACGCACATCATCCAATGTCTCGGCTCCGGCGTCCCCAACCCGAACCTTGACACCTCCGCGTGACCCCTTCGTGTGCCGCCCATACGAATATGTAGACTTCACCAAATGAGTCCTCAATAAATGGATCAAGTGTCATGCTGTCTTGATTGTTGTTTGACCAGCTGACTGCCAGGCGATGAGGAAGAGAGCACTTGAGCTGCTCTCGGTGAGACCGGCGAACATGGAGACGGCTCGCTCCTTCATGGCTTTTTCTGCTTTGACCGTGACCACCCGTCGCTTGGCGAAGCCGCCACTGACGCCGCGAGCCCTTCGGCCCCCGCCTCTTGTCGCCGCGGTTCCCGCTTCCCGTGCCGCAAATGCCGCCGCGACATGCGTCCGCCGCGTTTCAATGCGACGAAGCCACTCGCCCCCGTCCCTGCCGGAGCGCAGCCGTCCGTTCGATATCGCTCCTTGCGAACGGCGCCTCTCTTCCGTCTTAAGTCGAGGCACCCGAGTTCCGTCCTCGGAGGTCGCACGTTTGCCCAACGTGGGCTTCGCTTGGCCGGGCGGCTCCCGGCCCGTCAGAAAACCGCTCTTGTCCGTTGGCGCGATCCAAAACCCAATTTAACTGGATGCATTTTCTTTGCCGCGGGCGCAGTCTGTCCCGAACCAGATGTTGTCAAGTCGACCGCTTGCCGCATGTGGAGGGCCGCCTCCTCTCTGTGACATCACGTGTCGATTGAGCGCTTGACCCGACGGAGGCGCCGATCGCCATGGGAACGAGCCGAGCCCGACGGAAACTCACACCTGCCGCTGAAACTCGAGAGCCGGGCGGGACACATGACACCCCACAAATTGCCCGCTCAGTCCTCCGACCGGCAGCAGGATGGACCGGGACGCCCGGCGGCTCCTCCGGCCTCATTCGCCTTCGGGCCCCGCGGGACCGAGCGCGAACTGCGTGTGGATCTCTCTGGTCGCGGGTGAGTGCCGCGTCACCGCTGTGACACAAACTGCAAAAAACGGTGACGTCACATCGCCGACTCGGCGCCTTCGCCCAAAACCGCAGGGTGGTGACGTCACGATCTCACGGTTGTTGACACTCGGCGCGACCACTTGGAAAGAATCATCGAGTTTGTTGTCGAAAAAGCACGCGGGGAGCTCCGAATGTTACGGGAGGAGTCGAGTAATGACAAACGAACGGCCGACGACGAGAACCAGTCGCTCGCTCGCTCGCTCGCTCACTTTTCATGCTCGTAAGAAAACTATGCAAGGGGAAAATAAAAGACGTGCGCAAAGGTACAACAGCGATATAATATTGTGCAGCGGAGGCACTTGCGACTCCAACTCGGTTCCGTCAACCCGCTACTGTGACTGAGACGTGTTAACTAACTTCGGAATTTGATGCGAAGGTAACAGAACGTTTCCAGTCAAGACTAGCGCGCGTATTTCCAAAGTGCGGGAGGCGTCGTCGCCCTTGACTTGTTTTTCCTTGGCCGTACTTTTTGGAGGTGACGAGTTTTCGGTTTTCCCGGGTATCTTGAAGGCACCACGGTTCGCACCGCGCGCTGATTGGCCGCAATCGGCACGGAGCGCCGGTCGCCGTGGTAACGAGTCTTGGAAGGGACTTGCCGCTCCGTCTCGCTTTCGGACCGCCGCCGTCGGTAATCCCAGCTAACGTGCTAAGTGGCTAATGCGCGACGATTCGATGGCGAACGGCTGAAAAACTCGCACCGTTCCCCCGAAAAGCGTCCAAAAGTTTCCCCGAGCGACGCGCGTGCGCGGCCGCGGCGCGATGGGAAGATGAGGACAAAGTTGACAACTTGTTGACGGCTAGCAGCTCGCTTCGCTGTTAGCCTCCCGGTCGGCAAGTTGAGCGTCCAGCAGTTAGACGGAGCCACATGACCCACACCGCCCGCAGCCCGGTTTTGTCCGCCCTGTTCGGCTTGACGGAGGCCGACGCCGAACCGCCGGGAGCCGCGGAGTTTATCAAAGGTAAATAATAGTAAGAAGTATTAACATAACGACAATGGAAACTTCCACGAGAATTTCAAAAGCTCGTCACTCAGACGGAAATGCCGACTCGCCAAGTAGTCGAGTGAACATGTTGCCGCGTTCAACGAAATGTGAGCAATTAGAGTCGAAAGTCTCCCGCGAAAGCAGATGATCAGGTTGCTCGATTGCTTAGGCCAGGCAGGGGTGGCCAACTGGTTTGCGTTCAGGGGCCCACTTTGATCTCAAGTGGGCCGGAGACTAGTCCGCGTGTAGCCCAAGATGCCGTAAGTAAGCACTCTTTTTGGCACCAGTAATGACAAGGACATTCCCAAAATATTCACGGCTATTATAATCCCGAACCGACCGAGTGGGTTGGGTTGGCGCCGCCAAATCTGAAAGCCTGCCCCCTAGTCTGAAGGGGGTGGCGCGGGTCAGGCTCCAGGGTCAGAGATGAGGATGAGACATCCTGCGCCAAGGGGAGGCGTTCAAGTGTGTTGGAGTGGCGCTGACCGGCGAGGGCGGATGGACAGATACGTCGCGTCATGGCCAAGAAGGCGCTGAGCCCCGATCCCTAGCGCTCGATTTTGCGGTCCGTGTCCGTTCCCGCTCTCGGCCTCGTGACAAGTTTGCCGATGTAGAAGTGGGCCAAATGTCTTTCCGCCGCAGGCTGACTTCTCCCCGTAGAGATGAGCGGCCAAGCTCGGGTGGAGTCCGGCCGCTGCATCGACGCGGAGCCGGATGAGGGGGCGAGCGAGCGCGCGCGCGCCTTTGGCTCCCCTGCGTTAGGCCTCTCGGTTCATCGCCATAGTAACCGCTCCAGTTTCTATCTGGTGTTTCCTCAAGCTGAATTGCTCTCGCGTTCGCTCATTCCCGACTCCCTCGTCACCCGGTTCAGGTTGGCAAGTGGAAGTGTGTCGGATGTGCGCGCGCGCGCCTCGCCGAGCGCCAACGATTCCCGCTCCCCGACGCTCGTGTCTTGTCTTGTGTGCCAGAGCGTCTGTATTTCGCCACGCTACGAAGCAAACCCAAAAGCACGGCCAACACGCACTACTTCTGCACGGACGACGAGTTTGTCTACGAGAAGTAAGTGGCGGCCCCCCGGCCCGCGGCTCGCCGGCCGGCACCGCGCTCACTCGTTTCCTGTCGCGTGTCTGGCCAGTTTCTACGCAGACTTTGGCCCTCTCAACTTGGCCATGTTGTACCGATACTGCTGCAAGCTCAACAAGAAGCTCAAGGTGAGTCGCCGCCGCCGCCCTCCATCGGAATGTCCACCGGCCGCCTGCGGGCCGTCGCGCTCTGTCACGTGCGCAAGTATGCGCGTCGCGCCTGCCTGCGAGGCCCGCCCGGGCCACGTGGCAGCCAAAAAAACAAAAAAGTTTTATCATCACTCACATACTCTTTGTTCACCCGATCAAAAAAGTTTGTGGCGAGCCCGTTCCGTTCTGGAGCGATCAGCGGTACGACGCGGGTCGGTTTCACCAAAAGCGCCCGTTTGGGACCAAGAAGCAGAGAAGGGCGGCTTTTGGGGGAAAGCGACCGGCGCCGCGGCCACTTTGACCTTCCCGAAAGCTCAAACCGAGAAACAAGACTGAGGAGAGCGAGTGATTTTGTAGCCGGCGACTGACTGATGCCCCCAACGACTGGTTTCCACCGGTACGCTTGTGAGGCTGCGTCACCTTCAAACATGGCTCACCATATTCAAAGAAGAAGAAGACCCGCTACTTTCACGACCGATTCAAGCGCCTCGAATTTTTCCCAGCCGTCGGAATCCATCAGAAAACGGGAACAAACGTGTTGCCCAAAGTCAGAGCCGATGCGAACGTCTTATTTCAACAGGAAGAACAACAAAAAACACAAAGCTCATCGGTCTGCTTTGGCGCAGGACGACAGAAACGGGGCAAGATTTCCTTCGCGGAGCGTTTGGAGTTTTTGATGTTCAACGAGGTCTTGAATCCATGATTCAAAAAGTTGATCATTGAGTCGCCGACGTTTAATCGACGAATTGTTGTCGTTTTGAAATTTGGGATCGACGTCTTTTTGTGGAAGGTCAAAAAGAAGAAAGGAGAAAAAAAAGCAGATTTGGGAGGGATTCCTTCCCTCCGTCGTCTTTTGGGATCACGTCAACCGGCCGGCGTCGTGCGCTCACTTTTGCCATTGTTCGCAAAAGCCGCCGTGCTGCTCGTATGCCTCGCTCAAGCGCGCCGCATCTGCTTTGCTTTGCTTTGCGTGCGCAGTCGTTCACGCTGAGCCGGAAACGAATCGTGCACTACAGCAGCTTCGACCAGAGGAAGCGCTCCAACGCGGCCGTGCTCATCGGCGCGTATGCGGTGAGACCCTTGGGCGCCGATGGCCGGGCTTAGCCGTGACCTTGACCTTGACCTTGACCCTGATCTTGATTGCGGCCACGTCAGGTGATCTACTTGAAGAAAACGCCGGAAGAGGCTTACAGAGCTTTGGTGTCGGGATCCAACCACTCCTACCTGCCCTTCAGGTCCACACAAAAAGCAAACTGCTCCACACAAACCCTGAATTACACGCGCATGCGCACACGCAATGTGTGCGCATGGTGTGTGTGCGCGCATTGAGAGGGATGAAGGCCGTGTGTGTCGGTGAGCTAAATTGAGGGTTAAGCAGCTGATGGCTTTGGTGAGGCCCCGCCCAGCTGCTGGTGCCTTCACAGACAAATGGAAATTGTTGTTCGCGTTGTTTTGGCGTCTTCTTGTCGGCTTTTGCCGGAAAGCCGCCTGATGCCGGCGCCTCCGTGTCGTGTGCGCAGGGACGCGTCCTTTGGGAAGTGCACCTTCAACCTGAGTGTCCTGGACTGTCTGCTGGGCATCCGCAAGGTGGGTCTCATGACGGCGCGAGTCGCACGCGAGCCGCCGCCGCCGCCTCCATGTTTTCTTTTGTTTTTTTGCGCGCCCCCTTTAGGCTCTCCAACACGGCTTCTTCGACTTTGAGTCTTTCGACGTGGATGAGTACGAACATTACGAGGTAGGAGGCGGGCGCCCCGCGCTGCGCCGCGACGTTGAGGCCGAGCCGCCCCTCACCTCACCTCACCTCACCTCGTCCTCGTCGGCGTCCTGTTTGCTCAGCGTGTGGAGAACGGCGACCTGAACTGGATCGTCCCGGGGAAACTTTTGGCCTTCAGTGGACCGCATCCCAAAAGCAAAATGGAGAACGGTGGGCGGCGCAGCATTTCTTGTGGTTTTTGACCCGCCCGCCGGGGATGTCAGGTGGATTTTGTCCATATCTGGCGTGACGTGCGCGCCGCCCGCAGGTTACCCGCTGCACGCGCCCGAGTCGTACTTCCCGTACTTCCGGCAGCGCGGCGTGGTGGCGGTGGTGCGTCTGAACAAGAAAATCTACGAGGCGGCCCGCTTCACCGACGGCGGCTTCCGCCACTGGGACCTGTTCTTCCTGGACGGCAGCACGCCCGGCGAGGCCATCACGCGGCGCTTCCTGGCTCTGTGCGACGCCACGCCCGGCGCCCTGGCCGTGCACTGCAAAGGTGAGCTCCCCCGCTTCGTCCCCCGCCCGCTCGCTCTCACGCTCTGGCGTCGCCCGCAGCCGGCCTGGGCAGGACGGGCACGTTGATCGGCTGCTACCTGATCAAGCACTACCGCTTCAGCGCCGCCGAAGCCGTCGCCTGGATCCGCATCTGCAGGCCGGGCTCCGTCATCGGACCTCAGCAGCACTTCCTGGAAGAGTGAGAGCGCCGCGCGCCCGCCGCCCGCTCGCGTTCTCGGCCTGACCGACCGCGTGGACAAAACGGGGGTGGGGGGCCGTCAATAACAAGTGCTCGCCGTGGATGACAGTTGGAGGCGTGCGTCTCCCAAAACAAAACCTGACGTGGATGACGACCACAACAAACAGCACCGCAAATAGTCCATTTTGCCACGTGACAAATGGACAACCGCGGCAATTGGGAGCGGGGTCCGTTCTCTTCTCCCCCGGAGTATGGACGTGTTTTTGGAAGGCTTGTGTTTGTGGGCAGGAAGCAGGCGTGGCTTTGGTTGCTAGGAGACCATCAGCGCTCGCAGGGGTCAAAGGCCGCAGAGGACGACGACCGCGTCGGCCAACTGATGTCCCGCGTGCAGGGCCTCGCCTTGAACGGCGCCGCTCGACCTTCGCTCGGCGAGGACCGCCTGCGCGAGGTAAACGTGCACGTCAACATCGTTTGCACGCCGCCAAACTTTTTTTTCGCCGCAGGACGACGCGAGCGAGCGGTCGCCTCCGACTCAGGGAGACAAACTGCGAGCCCTAAAAGGTCGCCGACCCCTCCGGTCCGCCGCCTCTGCGGCTGTCAGGTATTTCCAGCCCCGCCCCCTCGCCCCCGCCCGTCAGTCAAAGCCACGCGACCCGTGAGTGACGGCCGGATGCGCCGCTTTGCCTCGCAGGGCGGAGCGGCGCGGCGGGACTCCGACACGGCCGATCAGGTCAGCGTGCGCCAAGATACGACGCAGACGTGCGACGAACACGACCGTGACAAAGCTAATCTTACAAATGTGACAAGTAGGAATGTTCAGTTGCACTTTTTTCTCAATCCGATACCCGTATGCATACTTGCCGATACCAAGCAACCGATACCACCGGCACTTTTGAGGATGAAACAAACGTCCGACCATTTTCAAAGAAAACCTTTGGATTATTTCTGACAAAAGGGAGTAAAAGGGTCGCTGTGCATGGTGCTGTTCAAAATCAAACACAAACTCGCTCGCATTCCAGATGCATTTGCCGCGTATGAACGGAAGTGCAAAGTAAAACGGACAACTCCCGCAGTTTTTAGTCTTTGCTCCAAGTAAGTTGGAGCGTTTCAACTCTTAACTCTTAAGCGGAAGACTTGGAAGTCATCCGACAGAAAAATGGATCACAACTCAGCGTTTTGTCTCGGCCCATTTTTCTTAACCTACTCAACATAAGAAAAAGATAAATAAATAAAATGGCGTCAAGATCAAACATACTAAGAGTACGCGGTGAGAGCCCCGGACCTCGAAAGAAGCACAAGTCGGCATTGCCGACTTTTCGTCGGTCTTTCAGGCCGGCCCGCGCGGACGGGCCCGCTCCGGACCCTCGTCGGCGTCCTCAATGTCATTTGCGCAAGCACGCGTGCAGCCAAAAGACTCGTGAAAACAACAGACCCACGCGCAGGCCGTGGCGCTCGGCGTCAACGCGGCCGGTGGGAGCCAGCGCCGCCCCGGTTTGAATTTCTTCTGAATTTGGCCGCTTGTCCGCGTGTCACGTTGTACCGCCAAGTCGGTTCCGGGCGCCGTTTGGCTGCCGCCGACGAGGGATGGACCGGGCTGCCCCGCCATCCTGAGCAAAGCTCACCGACGGACTGACGGCCTCGCACCGATACCCGCTCTCGATACTCGCCCATCCCCGACAAACAGAACGGTGACAAATGTTCCCAACGGCGTGTCGTCATCAGACTGTGGGCGGGCGCCGACGGCGGCTCCGCCTCCTCCCCGCTGAAGTCGTCGAAGTCGCCGGCGGCCTCCGCTTCGGCCGCAGCCAAGAGGATCGGTCGCAGTGCGTCGTCATCGGCGAGCGGCTTGAGGTCAGACGCTTCTCTCGCTCCTTCGTTCGCCCCTCGCTCGTCTCGGGCGTCTCGTCGGCCGCTCCCGTCACGTGACCGGTCACCTTCCGCCCCTTGACGCGTGTCCGTGCGTGTACGCCAGCTCCCGATTGGCCGGCTCGCTTGGCGACGTGTACGGCGCGCGCGCGCCCCCTCCTTTGGTGGCCCCGCGTGCTTCCGCGAGCTCGTTGATGCCGGGACGCCACCTGAGCCTCTCCGTTCCTGTAAGTCTGCTGGCCCCGCCCCCTTCGTGCCACTTGCTTTGCTGTGCCAACCCGCTCGTTTGCCTCCCTTAGTGTCTGTCTGTGTGTGTGCGCGTGTTTCCTGTAAGTCTGCTGGCCCCGCCCCCTTCGTGCCGCTTGCTTTGCTGTGCCAACCCGCTGTTTGCCTCCCTTAGTGTCTGTCTGTCTGCGTGTGCGTGCGTGTGTGTGGATCCCTGCGCACACACTTTGATAAGTGCGATGATATCATCAACCAGGAGGAACCGGCAGCGCGCGTCACATGACACGTTGATCTTGTTAGCGACAAGCGACTGAGCAGCGCTGATTTGTCTTTGTTTTTTGTTTCCAGTCGCTTCAGTCGAACTGCGTCGACTTCTAGAAGGTCCCACGGGCCCTGAAGGCACCGCGCGCATTCCATGACCTCCGAGGTCACGCGCGGCGGCAAAAGAAGAAAGCTGACATCATGGGGATGTCGGGATCAGCTCAGGGAGCAAGGAATCCCTTTTCGGCGTCGTCATTTTTGCGATGACGTCACAATGGCAGAGCCCAATGAGCCACCGACCTTTGACCTGTGAGCAGGTGACGCGCCGGTCCGTGCGTGCGCGCGCAATGCTCTCCTGTTAGCCTAGCGCCAGCCGTTAGCCTAAGGGGAAAGACCGATTTGAAGTCAAGTTTGATTTGAATGTTTTTTTTTAGTTTTTAACCGAGTTACTTTGATGAATTGACTGTTGGTGTGTGGCTCCGTGACCAACCAGCATGGCGCCAATCTTCTACCTCTTCCATGTTGTTTGTTGCGGGAAAATTAGGGTCACAGTCCCGCTCACAATTTTACATTCTCAAGTTTGAAGTTTGTTTGTGGTAACGCAGTGCCATAATGAAGTGTGGAAGCGTTTCTCCAAAAGGAGAACAGCCTGGGCTTTTATTTTGAAGGGAAGCTGCTTGTTGATGTCTGGAATATACTGAGATTTATTTTCTTGAAGGAAATAAATTATTTTTGTTGACGTGTTTTGTGTTCTGACACTCATGTGATCAACGGGAAATGGATGACGTCACTTTCACCGCTTGACCGCGCTCCATCGAGTTGCTTGATCCATTTGGGATCTGCAGGTGACGGTCATCGTCATCGCAAAGTCACTTGACCTCCGTCGGCGAAGGGAGCGCAATGCGCGTTCAAGGTTGCAAAAGTTCATTTGCCGACAGTTTTTGTGGCTTTTCGCGTCACGGGCAAACGTTTGCGACCTGGAACGAACCGCGCGGAGATCTCAACAGTCTCTTGGCCGCTCGGTGGGCCGATTGCTTCAAAGCAACGAGCGCGCCGAGCCTGAGTCGCGGAGCCGTGGTCAAACGGGCCCGCGTGGTCGCGCCGCGGAAGGTTTCCGGGCGAACCGCTCCGGGGGACGCGGCGCGTCAGCCAGTCCGCGTCGACGCGCGAGCCGCCGCTTGCGTTCGGAAAAGGGACGCGCGGCCCGCGCGCTCCGCCTCTCCCGACGCGCACGCGGGCGTCCGAGCGAGCTTGCGAACGCGCCCGCAGTGTCCCGTCCCGTCCGCGCTCAAGTCGCCCGGACCGGAGCTGAGTTGAGAGCCGTCATCGACGAGTCCCTCCTCAACGTCGACCGCGTCCTCCAGTCACGTGAACGCGGATGAGCCTCGGTCGCGCGTTGAGTCAATCAAGAGGAGTGGCGGGCGCGCGCTTCCCGACGGCCGGCAGCAGGGGGCGCGCTCCTTCCCCGGCTCCGGTCGGGCTCGGCGGCTCTCGCTGAAAAACGAGCCGCTCGCTCACACGCGCGAAGGCGGACGCCCCGCTCGGACTCCCGCTCGCCTCCTCCGACCTTCAGCGCGATGGCGCGCCGCGGGCTTCCTCTTGTCTGCCTCTTTCTCTCAGGTGAGCCTTTTCCAATGGACGCCAAGTCGGGACTCTGAGCTTCGGGGTTCGAGCTCACGTCCGCTGCCGACATCGCTGTCGGGAGTGGGCGCGATCGTTCGCTCATTGCCGACCGCCCGCCCGCTCGCCCGTAAACGAGCGAGTGTGCTGACGAGGACGGCAGATACCGGATCGGCCGAAAAGACTCCCTCGTCGCGTATGCGCTCGTCGACTCTCGGGCTGAAACGATTCATCGAAGCCTCCCGATTCAGCGTTGAGCGCAGGGGTCTCAAGCTCGCGGGGGTTGGGGGGGTGGGCACCCTACTTGACATGCAAGCTTCGTATTAGTGGGGCCCCGCGCACGGACCTTCCTTGGCCCTCTCGTTGCGGTCTTTTATCTCTTGCGTTTACCTGTAAGGCTCATCCGGCGGTGAATCCGAGCGAGTGCAAGGCAAAGCCGCGCTGCCGGTGCTTTTCATTTTCAAATCCTGCCGTGACGAGGAAGATCGGCGATGACAACGCGCAGCTCATTTTCAGAAAAAAAAACAAAGAGGCCGAAGGTTTGGTTGTTGTCGTCGGGCACAGGGTCATCCTGACATTTGCGGTGCTCAAGAAATTCCACGTCACGACTCGACTCCCGCCGACATGCCGATGCTCGACATCGCTTAGCGCCGAGCAATCTTGCCAACCTTCCTAAAAAACGGCCGTGTTGTGTCCTCTTATCAAGAAACGTTGAGAAGATTGGATGAGTTGCACTTGTTTTTGCCGCTCGCAAAGCACTTCGACTTGGCCGGTCGACGGCCTCCCGACCTTTTGTTCGCGGCGACTTCCGGACGGACTTTGCTCGCTTTTTTTCATCCGCCGCAGGGACAGAACCCGTTGGCAGAATGTTGCCTTGAGCGGCCATCCGTGCGTGACCGACCGCCGCTTGAGAAGGCGCCCGATGAGCTTGGCGGCGGAGAACGCGTCTTGACTGTCGGAAGGTCGCTGACCATCGCGCTCCTTTGGTGGCGCTTGCGATTGAAGCCGCTTGATTGGTGGCCTTCTACAAGAGGCCGGGAAAGCCCAAAGAAAGGCGCAGATGCTTGACCGTATGCCCCGCTGTGCTGTGCTGTGCTGTGTTGTGTGCTGCGGCGGCGGCGGCGGCGGCGCAGGTGCGCTGATGTGGCGGCGGTGCGCGGCGGCTCTGCGGGTGGACCTTTCTCCCGGCGGGCCGCTCTTCAAGCTGGGCGAGCGTCAGCGGCTCGTGTGCTCCGTCGGCGACTGCCCCGTGGCGCCCGTCATCTCGTGGACGCCGCTCGGCGACCGGCCGCTGAACGCCGGCGTCCGGACGCGGGACCGCCTGTCGGTGCTCACCTTTGACCCCGTGGAGATGGAGCACGAAGGCCCGCTGCTGTGTCAAGTCACCTGCGGGGAGCAACGCAAATACGCCAAAACGCACATCAGACTTTACGGTCAGCTGACACGTGCGCACGCGAACACGCGCCCGTTTGGTAAATCGTGTAAGCGAGCGTGTGATGAGCGCCTCGCGGTGACGTCATCGCCCCCGTTGCGGCGCAGCCTTCCCGTCGGACCCCGAGATCCGAGGTGAGCGGCCCGTCCGCGCGGGGGAGGAGTCCACGCTGACGTGCGAGGTGCGTGACCTTTACCCCGCCGAGGTGCTGACTCTTGATTGGCTGAGGGGAGGCCAGGTGGTCCGCAGCGTGGCGGGAGAAGCCGGGGCCGGCGCCGTCCGAGCGGCGTACACCTTCACCCCTCGCGGGGGGCCGTCGGGGGAGAACCTGACTTGCAGGGCCACCCTCGACCTGCGCGACCTGCCCCCCGAGGAGCGCACCCGGCAGACCGTCGCCCGCCTCCACGTGACCTGTAAGTGCGGCCGTGATCGCGCGCGACGGCGGCGCGGCGCGTCAAGGCAACGATGATGACGATGAACGATGCGATTGCCGTCAGTCGCTCCAGTGGTGACGGCGCTGTCGGACCCCGGCGCGGTGATGTCGGGGTCCGTCCTGGTTCTGAGGTGTTCCGCATCCGGCAACCCGGCGCCGGTCCTCACGTGGACCTTCAGGCCCGAGGGTGGCGGGTCGGCGCAGGTCAAAGGTCACGGAGAGGAGCTGGCGCTGGCCGCGCAGGCGGGGGAGTTCCGATGCGAGGCCCGCAACCGCGAGGGCCGACACAGCGAGGCCGTCCGCGTGCGCGTCAACGGTGAGGCCCTCTTGCGCGTCGCGGGTCGGCGGCGGGCGTGACCCTGCGCGTTTGTGCCCCCTCCAGCTCCGCCCAGCAACACCTCCATGTCGGTGAGTCCGGGCCGAGAGGTTCCGGAGGGCCGGCGCGTCACCTTCACCTGTCGCTCCCACGGAGCCCCGCCCCCCGTCCTGGTGCTGAGTAGGGAAGGGGTGGAGCTCTGGAGGTCGGACTCCACCCCCTCGCTCACCTTCAGCCTGTCCGTGCGCCCTCAAGACCCCGCCCGCTACCGGTGCGACGCCACCAACGCCTTCGGGACGGAACACGTCACACGAAACGTCACGTTGGAAGGTAAGAACGGCGGGCGGATGGCGAGATCGCGACTCGGAAGTCGAGCCGCGCTCGTCGGGTTGCTCGCTTGCTTTCGCCTCGCCGCGACCCGCGACCAGATCAACGGCGGTGGGGAAAGCGGCCCTTTTTGTGCAAACGTTTGCCGCAGCTCCTCCGAGGAACACGACGGTCACGGTGGCGCCGTCGGCGGCGGTGCGGGCGGGTCAGAACGTGACGGTGTCCTGCCGCAGCGTGGGCTTCCCGCCGCCGGACGTCACCCTGGAGAAAGCGGCGGACGGGACCCGGCGCCGCTCCGCCGACGGCGTCTTCCGATTGGTCAACGTGACGGCGGGCGACTCGGGCCTCTACCGGGTCAACGCCAGCAACCGCTGGGGCCACCAGGTCCGCGTGTTCCGCCTGAGCGTGACAGGTGCCGCTTCCGCCGGCGTCGACGCTCACGTTTTGCGCAACCTCTACAAAGGCCTTTCCTTTCCAGAGCCCGAGGCTCCGCCCGCTCCGGCCGCCGTCCTGGTGCCGGCCGCC